ACACACACACACACACACACACACACACACACACACACACACACACACACACACACACACACACACACACACACACACACACACACATGTACACACACACACACATGTACACACACACACATGTACACACACACACACACACACACACACACACACATGTACACACACATGGTCTTATGTAAGTTCGTCCTGTTTCAGGTGCCTCCCCCACAGAGCTGCTCTGTGGGAGCAGGGGCCACAGCAACACACACACACACACACACAGACAGACAGAGACACACACACACACACACAGACACACAGACACACACACACACACACAGACACACACACACACACACACACACACACACACACACACACAGACACACACAGACACACACACACACACACACACACAGAGACACACACACAGACACAGACACACACACACACACACACACACAGAGACACACACACACACAGACACACACACACAGACACACACACACAGACACACACACACACACAGACAGACACACACACACACACACACACACACACAGACAGACACACACAGAGACACACACACACACAGACACACACAGACAGACACACACACACACACACAGACACACACACACAGAGACACACACAGACAGAGACACACACACACACACACACACACACACACACACACACACTGTGTTTTTAATCAGACAAAGGCCCGGTGGCTGTTTGGACAGTAGAGTCCAGACAGAGAGGACAGAGAGAGGGACAGAGAGAGTGGACAGAGAGAGAGAGGAGAGGATGGACAGACAGAGGACAGAGAGGACAGAGAGAGAGTGGACAGAGTGGACAGAGACAGTGGACAGACAGAGACAGACAGAGAGTGGACAGAGAGTGAACAGACAGAGGACAGACAGTGGACAGCGTCTGACGTCTGTGGGAACTTTCCTCTGGACGTTTTGCTCTGGTCCCAGACGCTCGTTCAGCTAAAAACACAGACGTGATGTGAGCCAACGTGCTCGCTCATCCACAGAGCCGACGCCCCCTGACCTGCCCCTGACCCCCACCCCCTGCCTCCTGCCTCCTGCCAACAGCACCTGCCAACAGCACCTGCCAACAGCACCTGCCAACAGCACCTGGTCCCACTCTGGTCCCTCCCTGAACCTAATCCCTGGTCACTCCATGTCCACTGCCCCCTGACCCGCCCCTGCCCACAGCTCTGCTCCTGTCACTCCCTGCCCTGCTCCTGTCACTCCCTGCTCCTGCCACTCCCTGCTCCTGCCACTCCCTGCTCCTGCCACTCCCTGCTCCTGCCACTCCCTGCTCCTGCCACTCCCTGCTCCTGTCACTCCCTGCTCCTGTCACTAACTGCTCCTGTCACGGGGGCAGGGGCAGAAGCGGCAGGGACGGGGCCTTTGTGGTGCAGCGGGACAGAAACATTCCAGACGTTTGTGTCAGTGTCAGTGTCAGTGTTTGTGTCAGTGTTTGTGTCAGTGTCAGTGTTTGTGTCAGTGTTTGCTGCAGGTCACCCAAGAAATCCCCAAAATGACAGAGAAATTAAACATAAACCAGGTCGACGAACGTGAAATCTGGTCGTTAAAAAAGTCTGATGTTAAACAAAACTAAAAGTTTAAACCTGTGAGCTTCAGGTCGTCTGCTGATGTCGTTTCAAACAGACTTGGACTTGTGTTTGTTTCATTCATGTTTGAGTAAATCTGTATTTTTAGTTTGTCCACATCTGTAAAACTCCAAACGTTCTGGTCTGCCCCCTCGCTGTGCCCGCTGTGCCCACTGTGCCCACTCTGCCCGCTCTGCCCACTCTGCCCACTCTGCCCGCTGTGCCCACTCTGCCCACTCTGCCCACGGTGCCCACTCTGCCCGCTCTGCCCGCTCTGCCCACTGTGCCCACTGTGCCCGCTCAGGTCACACTTCTCACCCAGAGCCACTTTAAACACACATTCACAGATCTTCGAGTTTGTGTTTTGGTTTTTCCTTTCAAAACTTGACAGAAAACGAGAATTAATAATGAATTCTGGTTCAATATTTGGTAAAACTTTATAATAACTACACCTTATTTAGCCTTAATAAAGCATGAACAAAGACTTAGTTAAGAATGATTCACACTTAATAACTACTTAATTACTAGGGCTGGTATCATTAAGAAGTTGCCGATACGATACATATCTCGATACAGTGCACTTTCGATTCGATACGATATATTTCAAATTGATTCGATATGGTTCAATAAAAAATAAAGTCTAAATCGTGTCTGTGATACTAAAGTCTTTGTTAAATCACTTCTTCTTGTGCAAAGTTCATATGAAACACAAACATTTAAATCATCAAAACAGTAAAAATGTCAAATGTGTCACATAAACAAGTTTCCTTTCACTCCACAAGCAACAAAACTGTAGCTGTAACTAAATAATTTAGTGAAACACACCTAAAAATCCTCTTGGTGATATATCGATACAGCAGCCCACGATATCGATACTGTATCATCACATTAAACGATACGATATATCATTATTGCGATATTTTTGCACAACCCTATTAATTACTACATGAATTAACACTTAACTTACACTTAATTCACCTGTGCTGTAAATAGTTACTCAATACTTCTTAATTACTCATGAACTAACCATTTGCATGTTTACAAATGTATA